GAAAGTCACCAAAATTTAAGTCCAATTATAATATTAAACGTCAATATTAACAAAAAAGTCAAAAATGAAAAAATGAAGGGATCTAAAAAGTGGAATACCGATGAAATTTTGACCATAGTAATAAATAACACAATAAATGAAGTCCAAATTTGTTTATTTATATAAACTGATCAAGAAAAATACAAAACTGTTCAATTTTTATGTTGTACAATAACATAGAAAATATAATAGCATCATTACGAACGTTATTACGCATAGACAATAAAGAATAAAATTAAATCTTGAATCATTAAATTATGACGTACAATAAATATTAGCATCTAAAATAAACATTCACAAGAATTTATTCCATATTCTCAACCCTCGATATATTCCACATTACCTGCATGTCGTCATATGACAAATAAAGTCTTTCCGTAGCAATAAACAAGTTTGAAATAGCAATTAATCTGCATAATAATGTTCATGCAACATTATTAAAAGTGTCTGTGCAATATAAGCATTAAAAAAACTTACCTTCAGTTTGTGAGAATACTTTTTAGAAAAAGCTGTCGAATCTTCTGACGTAACGAAAATGAATAAATGTTAATTGTAGCAAAACGGTTGGTCGGACCGAGTTCGTTGCTTGTTATGACATGTTTAGTAACAGTTGCAATAACTTTCAACGATTGCCGCCAGATTGCAATGCTTTGTTTAAAAAATAAGTCACTATTCCATATTAGTAGCCTATGCCATAATCCCTGATTTTACCCTACATACATACATACACATTATAATATCCATAAAATTCTAATATTTCGTATAAATATATTTGCGTGAATATCTGACCATGAGAAACTTGTATCTCTTTTTGTTACACGTAACAAAAAAAGATAAAGTAGCTACACACGTATGTAGATATGAATTACAAATACCCAGATAGCAAAATGCTAGCAGTATGCCAGCAGTATGCCAGCAAACTTGATCATGATGTTACAGCAGATATCAAGCTCCTGCTTCCTCATTAAGCTTAATTTCTAACAGCATAATCTGCCAATATAGAATGATTGTAGAAATGCAATAGAAATTGAGCATTCTTTGCTATAAGTATTGTGACGGCAAATACCTAGCAAATATTGGGCAAAGTTTGCTATTTCAAATACTAAAAGCAAAACGACAGCAGAAATCAAGTATGATTTGACATCACATTGTGACAGCGAAATCATGACGAGACTACGGCACGAGTTACTATATCAAATACTGACAGCAAAACTACAGCAAAAACCGAGCACAGCCTGCCGGCACGACGTGATTGCAGAGAAAACACGCATAATAAATATAATTTATATCATACATTTAACTTTTATTAACTAATTGCATTTTTATTAAAGAAGTACACTTAATCAGAATAAGATTTTGCTAAATAGAAATTGTATTTTTAATTTTTTTGTATCTTAAATAGTGTTAATAAATGAATAATTTTCCGTATTGAGAGAATTTTTGCTCGGTTTTAAAAAAATTAATTTAATATTCAGAATTCTCTACAGGAATTGTGTCAGAAATTAAATCGATAAGAAAATATTACACATTTTTATTTTCACCAGCCGCGTTATGTAGTCTTTACTCTTTATATTTGCCCGTGACAGAAATTTAAATACGAGATAAATATTGATAGATACGTCGTCTATCGGTAAATGGGAAAACTTTGGTACGATATAACATGTGATGACAGATTATGCACGATTTCTGCTGCGTTTTTATCTTCAACAGTTGATAAAGCAGATCGCAATATACATATACCGTGTTTTGGACAGTGACATCGTGACGGCACGTGCTCGATTTTTGCTGTGATTTTGCTGTCAATATTTGATATAATAAGTCGTGCGGTTTTCCAGCTGCATTATCGTTCTCACAATGTGAGAGCAAATTTGTCAGATTTTTAACTACATTTTGCTAATTTAATATGACATTATGTCAAATCTAGCTTTTTGGTTTATTTTTTTTTTATATATTGTGTCAACATATAATATATGAATTTTGTTCTATTTATGCCGAATATATTTTGCTCAATTTTTCTAGCATTTTTTAAAGCATGTTATGATGCAGTGTCTTTAGAATTTTTGCTGTATTTTTGTTAACGCTAGTTGAAATGATAGATCGTGCTTGACTGCTGTCCGATTTTTGCCAACGTAATATGTAGCATACATTTACAGTGCGTACTTCCGACACGTCTGGCTATCTGGGTAAATTTTATGTTTTGTAATGTGTGTACATCATAATGCACTTAAAATCTAATTCTAATATTCACTAATATGTCTATAATAATCTATATCGTATCTGCATGAATATCTAAGTATGATATCAACTATTTTTTCCATACAGTAAACATAAAAATGTAATAAATTTAAAAACAATAATAACTTTTTGGCAATTTAATGGGAAAAATAATGGCCAAAAAAAGAACTTTCTTTTATAAAAGAATGATTTTAACATGTGATGTTTTATAATTTTGTTAGGTTTACCGTATACATTCAACATCATTAATTACAAATCAATTTGATTTTTTGTTTTCAAACCACTAGTTGTGCACAATGTCAACAATTTGACAAAACCTCATGTGGACATGCTCGCCGCTATTGTTGCTTCTTGGACATTTTAACACATTTTGTTTCATAAAAATTCCCCAGACAACGCATAATATTTATAAAATATTTACAAAATGTTTATAAATATTTATAAGATTTATTTTTAATATTTTATATATATTAAAATTTTTATTTTTCTGGTCTCAGATTGCACAGATCATAAACATTTAGTATAAATATTATGAAATATTTACTATAAATGTTATAGTAAATGCTATGAAAATACTTAATGAGATATTATTATCCATGTAAAAAATACTTATTAGAAATACTTATTTGTATTTATCATAAATATTGCATAAAATATTTTGTCTATATCTTAATAATATTTCAATTAATGCTATATATAAAATATCTATATAACATTAAAAAAAATAAATATTAATAAATATTTAACATAAATATTTTGTGCTGTCTGGGTCATACATATTGTACAAAGTGCAAATAAAATATAGATCCAAAGCTAAAATATATCCGTTTTTTCCAAAAAATTTCACAATCTTTGATTTTTTGACCTTTCAAATCAGTTTCCACTAAACAAGAAACATTTCTGTAACGTTTTGAAACGTTTTAGTAACGTTACAACGTTGCTGCAACGTTACTGAAATGTTTTGGAACGTTTCTTGTTTACTGGGTCGGCTCTCTTAAATTAATCGCAGTTTGGCCATGGCACACAAAAAACTTAAGGCAGTAAGACGTAAGCAGTGAGGAAATCAACATGTTGTCTACTGCTTACGTTATGGCCTTACGAACTCTACTGTGATTGGTCAATTCGCTTACTATTTACGTTTTACTGTTTAAACTTTTTTGTGTGTCATAGCCCTAACCCCGCAAACACAATAGAGTCGTAAGCCTTAAGTTTTAAGAAGATGATCAATCACAGTCGAATGTGAGAAAAATAATCGACTATAATTGGTCAATTCCTTACGGCTTAACCTTTACGGAAAGTGACACTGAAAATTTCGAAAAAACATTGAAAATTAAGTGTTAACACTCAATTTTGAGTGTTAACACCTAATTTTCAGGTGAATCCTCATATGTTGGCTAAATTAAAAGAAAAATAAGGACTAGAATTAAAGAACATGAATCTAACTCTACTAATTCAGGCAACTTGCACAGTGTTGTTGCACAGCATCAAGTTAATTTTGATCACAAATTTAATTACGATAATATAGAAATTTTTGATATAGAACCATTCTTCCATAAAAGATTCACATCAGAAATGATTTTCATTAAAAAACAAACACATGGTATTAATAAACAGAAAGATACCGAAATGTTACCCGAATCATACTTTCCTTTACTAAACATATCGTCCTCTACATAATTCCAGAACTTTCCATTATTAACACAGGGATTGTATATAAACTGCCTGACACTGACGAAATTTGATGTAACGTTATTGGCGCTGAGCATTATCATACTGATTTTCTAAGTCCTTTATTGCGGTGTATCTTATCTTCAACACAGGTATCAAATTAAAAAAAATTTTATTAGTATCTTTTTTTATACTTTTGACATTTGTTAATGTAAGATTATTTATTCATAATGTTTAATAGAATTTGGAACTTTTGCGTTGAATAAGTTTGAGCATCTTGGCTTATCTTATTGGTTTTTGGTTTTGCTTATCAAGATCCTGCAGACAATCTGACTTTTTTGGATCACTCTTGCGATATTTACAATTAAATCTATTACGGAGCGTTATTATTTTATTTGCTGACAACGTATATAACTAATATTCGTAATATTTTAACTCTGATATTATCTGTAATACTGAGGAAAGTCTAATTTAAGACCGAAACGTCTATTGTATTGTAACATATCAAAATATAAAATATTTTAGCCATCCACATCTGGCGTTCATGGTGTATGCCTTCTTAACTATATTGTTTTACATTCTTACCATGGTTTTAACCTATATTGTTAAAGTGCAATAATTAGTTTCTGAGAAATAAGGAGGTGTCACTTTAGGAGACCTATGTCAGTATCGGCGACTTTCTACTTTTATAATTGAGAATAATTCATTCTAAATTTAATCACGTAGTTGATGCGTAATCTGATGAAATATCTTTGTCTTGATCTACATTGAAATTTTATAATGATATTGGATGAGGAATGCAATATCAACAAGATTTTGCAAAAAAAATATAATATAATATAATATTATATGATACATTTTTCTATAAGCTAATAATAATTTTCTAAAAAAACATTAATCACACACATTTAATTATAAGATATCTCTGATGAATTGTATTCAATAACTGTACAATTTTTTAACGAAGGAAAAGAATGTGCGGAATATTGCCGCGTGATTGGATGAAATTTTTGTCCCGATCTGCCACGGATGAGCTTCGCAACATAATATCGTTAATAGTTCGTGGGTAAATGAGATGAGTATATATATACACTGCAAAATGACAAGCGAACGAATATGTGGGGTATAACTATGTGTATAATGGCGGATTGTACCCGCGAGGCGCACCGAAGTCGCGTGCACTACCCACTCGTAGGTCGGGGCGGCGCCCGCCGCCCGGACCGTTCTATAATGTGCCGCGACGCCGCGACGACGACTTCACTTTTGTCCTGCTTACTTTACTTCTGTCAACGTTACGCGTCGGCACAGTGAGACAAGGTGAAAAAAAATCGCTCTCTTTCTGAATCAAATTCGTCATCCAATTATATCAAATCGATTTATTGTTTGACGTTGAAAAAATTTCATTATTTTCGATTACTAGCGAGGGATTGTCAAAAATGGATAAGGAGAGCGAATTCGCGAATTTGCGAATTTGCAGCAGAATTTGGGATAGCTTCAGAGATGACACGAAATAAGAATGTTGAGTTTCGGATGTGTTTGAATCGATGCGTAATTTAATTGTCGCGTCACACGGCACCGCATCCGTAGCGGAGAATAGGCGCGATCGCACTGATATACATCAATCACTCTTATACCTCACGTATGTTGTCTTGTTTATGTTGAACGCGGTAGTGCGCATATCGAGTGACCGGAATCGAACGATAGATACACGAAGTTGTGAAATTCCATCATAGGATTCGGCGATAATGTAGGACACATTTTCAATTACGTGGGTGAAAATATATCGCATTGCGATAATTCGAAAATTGTGCAGAACGCCTGCGGAGGTATTTCATTGTGAGGTTGTAAATATGTGCTGTCGCATTACTGTCGGAATGGAATGTAGCAGTGTCGAAATTTTCCTCGAGAGATCATAGTTTAATATTGCAACGCTTGCTTGTAAAATTACAATAATACTTATAATGTAATAATATTGTAAATACAGTGGTGGTACTTAACGGACTGATTTGTAATAGAAAAGAATTTCTGTGCATATTTGTTAAAAAATAACAGTAAATTTAATATTTAACACATTAATTATAACCCATTAGAATGTAACATTATGAAATAGACTACCAAATCGTTTCACGTATTTTCATTCTACGATACAAATAACGATAAAAGTAAGAAAACAATTATATATTTAAAAAAAAGTACGTAATTTTTATCATGATACCTATTCAAATTTTGACAAAAATTTCCTAAGAGTTTTTTTTCATTTCTCAAGTATTTATTTAGAAATATTTTAAATTATAATTAAAGTATATGTTTTTTATGTAAGAGAGAGAGAGAGAGAGAGAGAGAGAGTTTTTCAATAAAATTAAAGCATTTTTAAAGACATATTTAAAGTAAAATTTGATTGGGCTTTCTGGACTGTTTGTTTCTTTTTTATTCATGTTGAGAAAATTATAGAGGAAAATATAAAGCGTCATTTATCACAAATATCAAATCTGAAAATATACTAACGAAAAGTGTAGAATAGAATAATGTTTCATATTACGTAAATCTTTTTATCTTCAACAAATAGAATAAAAAGCGTAAAATTTCTTCTATATAAGAACATATACAGATAAATAATAGCATTTAATATTTGTATACTTTTAATAGTAAATATTAAAGTAAATCGACTTTTGTTTCCGCTATTAGTGATATTAAAAATAAATTTGATAAAAAATAAAGCTTACTTAAAAATCTAAAAATGTTAAACATATTATATAGTACTTTAGTATTAAAATTACATTATAGCACTTCATATTTGTAAAATAAAAATAAGATCTTTAAAGAGATAATTTCAAGAAAAATTTTTTAAGATTCGAACAAATTTCCTATAAGAATTCTATGATTTTTCCCTTTCCATAGATAGAAAAATAGAAATCCTAGATTTTTATAGATAACAGACATTTTGTGTTTATGTATAAAATAATTTATATAATGTCGCTGGTGAAAAAATTTTGCTATTAGATGTAACTTTGCTTCCGCCGTTTTTTTCCCGAAATTCAAGGTTTTATTGTAAAAAAGTGGTTATACATTTATGATTCAAAGTATTGTCTATCGCTGGGCACTACTTTCTCCCATCTTTCGGGCAGCGTACGAATCCCGCGTCGAAAAAACTGGTCATCTTTTGAGGCGATCCACGAATCGATCCAATTTTTTACTTCTTCATAAGACCGGAAGTGCTGGTCAGCTAGGCCGTGTGCCATTGATCGAAACAAGCGATAGTCAGAGGGAGCAACGTCTGGAGAATACGGCGGGTGGGGTAGGACTTCCCATTTCAACGTTTCCAAGTATATCTTGACCATTTTCGCAACACGGGGTCGAGCATTGTCATGCTGCAAAATCACTTTATCGTGTCTCTCGTTGTATTGCAGCCGTTTGTCTTTCAATGCTCGGCTTAAACGCATCAATTGCGTTCGATACCGATCGCCTGTGATTGTTTCAGTCGGTTTTAACAGCTCATAATACACTACGCCGAGCTGGTCCCACCAAATACAGAGTATGACCTTGGAGCCGTGAATATTCGGTTTGGCCGTCGACGTGGAAGCATGGCTGGGAACTCCCCAAGATTTTCTGCGCTTGGGGTTATCGTAATGAACCCATTTTTCGTCCCCAGTCACACATCGATGCAGAAATCCCTTCCGTCTTTGTCTTTCAAGCAGCTGTTCACAAGCAAACAAATGCCGTTCAACATCTCTCGGCTTCAACTCATACGGCACCCAATTTCCTTGCTTCTGAATCATTCCCATGGCTTTGAGGCGTTTTGAAATGGTTTGTTGAGTCACTCCCAATGATCGTGCCAATGTTCTTCTTGATTTTGACACGAGTCTTGATCAAGTAATGCCTCCAATTCTGCATCTTCGAAAACCTTCTCTCTTCCACCGCTATGTCGGTCTTCGATGTCAAAATCACCGTTCTTGAAGTGTTGAAACCACTCACGACACGTTCTTTCACTAATAGCGGCCTCACCATAAGTATTTAAGAGCATTCGATGAACCTCAGCCGCTGATTTCTTCATATTGAAGCTGAAAATTAAAACCTCCCACAAATGACGAGAATTTGGTTCGTAAACTGACATTTTCAATCGAGAATAACTTTATGATGCAGACACAAATCGACTAATGTTTCTATGCGTTTATGTTGATAGATGCCCAAGTTTATTGTATGATGTCTATGATCTATTTATTTCGACCACCACTTACCGCTAAAGCCATCTATAGGAAAACGGCGGAAGCAAAGTTGTACACCTAAAAAATTATTTTATGTTTTGGAATATTTCAGCGAAATTGTTGAAAATTTACTGAAATTTTACTAAAAGTGAATTTTTTAGTTAACTTATTGAAATTGAGCCGAAATTTCTCTGAAATTTTGTTAAAAAATGATTTTTTTAGCTAAAAATCGCTGAAATTAAACTTAAATTTTTCTGAAATGCTAAAATTTTGCCGAAAAGTGTTCCATAAGTGTTTTGGATAGTTTCAGCGAAATTTTTCCACCAGGGGTTACATTAGAATTAATTAAAGTGTATGTGTGTTTGCATGTCTAGGGTAAGTCGGGGGAATACACCAGTTGAGGGAATATGATACTCGTGTTTAACAATGATACCGATTAGCAACGTTTGCGTTAATGACACAGAATTATGTACAATTATGTGCTTAACGTGTTGCATAAGTATTAAGAATTTCCTCGTAACAGTATTGTTTTTATGAGGTAAATACGACGGCATAGTATACGAAAATGTGCTTCTTATAACTTTTATAATGCTTTATGTAAGTTATTATTTAAACATTACACAATATTTAGCTCGATTAGCTTGTTAATCTATTAGAGTAGGTTAAAAGTGAAAATATTCAGTATATCGTTGATTCATTTTCTCTAATATATAGATATGTACACATATATATACATATATATATACGTATATATACATATATATACATATGTATACAAATATATATGTATAATATATATTATATATATTATATACATTATACATTGAATATATTGTATTTTTATGTGACATATTACCCCCATGGTGGCATATTATCGATTTTTCAGCACTTTCGTATTTCTTTATTTTTAATAACAAAAAATGAATATATTCGATTCAAATTATACACAAATCATAGATAAAGGATGAAAGAAAAAGATGAGTATGTAAAGTTATTTTAAATTGAACAAATAATTACTCAAAAATCTAATTTCGCTTAAGTGTAACGTACCCAGATAGCATAAGGACGTCCATTGTACGTCCATTGGACATCCATTTCTTGACATTGGGACGTCCCTAGGAAGTTCAAATTATGTCCGTCGAATGTCCATGGGATGTACATTTGTCACAACTTTGTACGTCCATAGGATGTCTGAACACATCCAATTTTGAACCTATTATGGACGTGTTATGGACCAATTTTGGACATCTTTTTCAGTTGAAGACCTTGCTACAATATTAGTAATCACGTACTATATGATAATACGTATTTATTGGAATATATGCTATACCAGTGGTCGCAAGGATTTGTACATTTCGGGTCGATTCCGGCGCGCGACCCACACCACCGCACGGCCGAGCTAAAGAGCGATCACGTGACGCTCTGACTCAGGGGCGCTCCTATACCAGAAATATACTAGGAGCGCTCCTTCCGCCAAATTATTATTTTCCTTAATGAAATACTTACATCTTAAATAGTTTCTAATACGTAGTTTTCTAATACATTACAATGTAATGTATTAGAAAACTATGAACAATGAATAAATTATATATTTCTGGTATAGGAGCGCCCCTGAGTCAGAGCGTCACGTGACCGCCCAGCGGCTCGGCCGTGCGGTGGTGGGGGTTGCGCGCCGGAATCGGTCCGAAATGTGCAAATCCTTGCGACCATTGTGCTATATCATCCTCTGACTCTCTTATTTATATTCTCCGCTTTCACCAAATGTGAGTTAGTCCAATATTGCATTGTGTCTTTAATTTTAAATTTGATTAAAAATATTTAAAAGTATTGAGCGTTTCATAAAAATAAAAATTACAATTTTTTGGAATTAACTAATTTTATTTGGGTAATATTATTAATATAATATAATATTATATAAGATATATAAAAAGTATGTTATTCAATACTTGTTGGTTCTTGGTTCGGCAAATAATACGAATATAATAAAAATATAAAGAAAAACATTTAGTAAAAGTAAAATCCAAATTCGGACATTCATAGGATGCTTTGAATAGGACATCCGTATGTCCATGGACGTGCGGCTGTGATTTTGACCTAAAACGGACGTCCTTGGGATGTCCAGTGCTATTTGGGTATTCCCCTGACTTACCCTATATTTAATATGTATTTATTGTTCTCTTTGGATTATAACGAATCTTTCTTTCTGTTATGTAATTATTATTAATAACTGCAATGCATCATTACTTATATAAGATAAATTTCAAGGTTATGATGTTGCATTCTAGTTCTCTTGTTATTTTAGCGGACATTATAATATTTCTGTAATCTGCATTGTAGCATACATATATGTATGCAATCTTGTAATGCACTTAATTTCTGCAATGCTTTCGTAAACCTCCTCTGATACATACAATTAATGGTCTTAGACAAGAAATTTCTTAAATGATATTTATAATAATTGTAAATTTTTTCTCTCTAACCACATAATATATACATAAAATAAAAGATCAATATAAAATAAAAAAAATACTCAATTGTGTTGTACTTACATATATTGAAATAAATCAATAACGAAATGTGTAATACATTGAAGCTGATACAAAATATATTAATAATGTAAAAACTAATGAGAACTTTATTTATTTAGGTGGCGAGGTTCGAATCGCGCGTTAATCCTATCGATATACCTATGGCGACCATGAGCAACAGTAATGGATCAACAATGCAGATTAACACTCGGCCTGACGACATTCGAAAACGGATTATTGGATGTGAGTTCTTTACAACCGATAAAGTCGAAGCTAAAGTATAATAAGAGAATTTGCGTCATAAAACTTACGATAATTTTTATTACAAACAAAAAAGGAAGAATATTTTATACATATAGTGTGTTTATCCTTTTTTAATACTTTTATTGTATCTATATTTTAGTTTATTTTCCGTAAAAGATACGCGTGTATGAAGAAATTATGCGTTCATCCAATTTACTTTGTCCAATTCACCTCTTATTTTATCCTTATTTACTTTCCTTTTTCATATTTTATTTTATCTTGTTTTACAATTATTCTGGAAAATGGGGCAAATAAACTTCACTGTAAACAATATTAAACAAAAAATAATATTAAACTTTCAACCTTGCTGTTACATATAGTTACTCTACACATTTATTTATATAAATTTTTTTGTGGTTTTTTTTTGGTACTGAAGAGGACCCAAATAATAGGGTCGAAACGTTTACCTAATATCATAATTATACAATTTTATTGTTTATTAATAAATTGATTATTATACATAATATCCTGTGTCGGCTCTAATAGGCATTGAAAGATTTTTATTCAGAATATTAAACAAAGTATCTTTTTAGACTGTAATGTGAATACACAACAAATAGGAAATAAAGGCTAAATGCTCAAGCTGGATCTTTAATAATTCGGTGTGAATTTACTACATATCCAATCTTGCAAACTGAGCGTCGAATTTAATTTTCAGTCTTGAAATGCAATCCTAATAGAACTAAGGTAGTATTATCACAAATTAAATTGATCAACAATTTAATATTGATGCTCATAGACATCTTAGAAAAATTTTAATATAATTTAATGCTGATAAGCATTTTAAAATCTGTAAATAATTTTGTTGCGAAAAATATTATCTTGGCTAGGATTTGAATTTGAATCTCCCATATTCTGTGTCCTCATCATTTAATTTTGCTGTTAGGGTTGCGCTTTAATAAAACAGCTTTTCTGTACAACGTATCGATAGGGACTTTTGTGTCGTTATTTATTATACCAAAATAAAATTCTCCTAAAAAATTTAGCTCCTCCGGAGTTTTTTCGCAGAAAAAAATCCTATTTTAACTTGACTACAAATTAAAAATTCAACACTTAATTTTTACAGGAATAGATATGTAGTATGTAAATTCACACCGAATTATTTTAACATTAAATATTTAGCTTGACCGTTTAAAGCCTTTATTCCCTATTATTTTTATTGTAAACGTCATTTTGCTTACCTGTAAAAGCATTAATGCTTTTGACTAATGATTATTCCGATCATATATGTACGTGGTAGAAGTCAGATGAAGGCTCTTAACGGGCTTATAACAACGTTGTTCAACCTTAAGCTCGAGAAATGAATTATTTCGTGAGTGTAAAGAAGGTCATTCTTTGTATGTAGCCGAGCTTCAATAAAGTGAACCAGGTACTTGCACAATAGTTCAGCGATAATTTTATCATTAGTCTTATTTAAAAAAAAAATGGTTTATCATTTAGTTTTATTAAAAAAAAAATATGGTTTGAAGATTTGATTATTTCAAAAATATTATAAAATTGAAAAATACATCTAAAAATATGAAAATATTAATAGAAGTTAGGATATATATAATTAAATTTCTCTTTATCATATCGAATTAATTGATATTCGAGGAATAAATGCAAAATTGGGTATTTATACATCTATCAAGCTGTAATTATAGACTGCTGATGACAATAGTAATTATATGTTCTTGTGAAATTCAGGCTGTTGGAACTAAAACCTTGGCATTATCGTTTCACAAGATGTCTATAAGAAGCAGCTCATGATAACTTATTATTTATATCTTTCTATTTTTTTTCTACTCACAAGTCAGTTGGAAAATTTGTTTTAAATTTACCTTAATATTGTAATATTAAATTTAAATTTTTTATGTTAATATTGTTTACATTTTATTTGTGTTACTTCTTAATATATTTACCTTATATTAAATTGAAACGTGTTCTAAATGAGCCATCCAAAATTTGTGCTAATTTAATATAAGATAAATATGTTAAGAAGTAACACAAATATAATGTAAACAATTAACATAAAAAAAATTTAAATTTAATATTACAATATTAAGGTTATTCGAGCCGTGCTAAATATCGTATGCGAATTATACGTACAAGACAATAAATACGTTAATGATTAAATTTCAAACGTTTCGACTTTTAATGTGGTCATCCTCAGTGATATATTGGGTTAAAGAAAAAGTCTTTTTACAAGTCGGAACATAATTAAAACATATTTTTTAAATTGTTTACAAACCTTTTATTAAGGGAGTGTACACCTAAGTAAAATTTTCGAAAAATCGAAAAAAAATTTTTTTTTTCGATTGTCTTAAAAATATGCTCCTAAAAGGTTTTTATAAAATTTGAAGTATTTCTCGAGTTATGTGAGTCTTAGGGAACGGGCGCACAGTGCGCTGAAATCGTACCTGATCAGTCGCTCTATACCGAACGTATAATAAGCCCTTTCACCTTGCAGTTTTTTGTATACCTATATTTCGTCTTACAGATGTGCGTATGTGTGTGTATGTGTGTGTACGTTTGTGTTTCAAACTATGAAGTTCGTTGGACAGCCGTTAGTTGTTCGTAGTACTCGGCAGATTTCTATTAAAAAATCAATACTGAAACTTTGAACGTGTTTTTCTCAAAAGTATTTTTTTTCAACTGGCTGTGTCTATAACTCGAACAATTTTCGACCGATTGGGCTCAGCTTTGAACAGTAGTTTCACAAAACGTATAGTTTCAGTTAACCGTAAGGATTTTTTTTTTAATTGTTAGTTTTCAAGGGGTGAGATGTTTAAGAAGTTCAAATGTAGTGAAATAAAAAATTTTTTTTAACCGTTATCATTCTGTAAAAAAAAATTATTTTAAAAAATCGCTATACTACACTCATATAGATTTGAAATTTTCAAACAAATTTTATTTCAGATAATTACAACTTGAGTTCTCTACACAGCCGATGGACCATGTTTTTTGAACACAGAAGTCTACAATGTTGAGCAACATCGTCATATATTTATATTTTGACATATAAAAATTCTTAAAATATCTTCAAAGTGTGCCCAATTGATACATTAATTCATATTTTTTCTAAAACTTATAGTTACTTTTAAAAAAATTGATAAAAAAACTTTTTTTAAGGCCTTTACTTAGGTATACCCCCTTAAATCAAATATGTGCCATTTTAATCGATAATCTTTTGCCATTTTTTCAATAATAGAGCCATTTTTCAATAAAAGAGAGAGTATAATAGTAGAGCTATTATTTCATCGGTGCAGGACTTCTGTGATTTCTCGGTAAAAAACCGAGATAAATGATTTTCGCAGGCTTCTTTTGAAATCAAGTTTATTCCATTAAAGGAGTTCTGCAAAGACCGAAACAAATGGTAATCGGACGGTGCAAGGTAAGGACTATACGGTGGATGCATCAAAACTTCCCAGCTAAGCTCTACCAATTTTTGTCGGGTCATCAAAGACGTGTGTGGCCTAGTGTTGTCATGATGGAAGACAATGCCTTTTCTATTGATCAATTTTTACCGTTTTTTCTGAATGGATTGCTCCAATCGCATTAGTTGTTGATAGTAGAAATCAGAATTAATCGTTTTATCTGGCGACAGCAGTTCATAATGAACGACTCCTTTCCAGTTTCACCAGACACACAGCATCACCTATTTTGGCATCAATCTAGGTTTTGCGATTGTTTGTGGTGCCACACATTTCGATCATGATCTTATTCGAACATTATTATCATATATTATCCACTTTTCATTGACGGTTATCAATGTTTTCAGAAAATGTTCAATTTTGTTTCGTTTCAGCAGGGATTCGCAAATAAAAATTCGATCCATTAAATTTTTTACCATCAAATAAAATGGCATCCAAACATCGAGCTTCTTTGTGCGTCTAGTCTTGTATGCAAATGTCCCAAAACGATTTTATAATCAATGTTTAACTCCATAGCTGTGTCATAACTGTTCACATGACGATTTTCTTCAATTTTTTGGAAGATTTCATTGACATTTTCCACAAGAAGCCGATCAGAACGATATTATTTGACATCGAAATTTCTATCTCGAAATTGGCGAAACTAATTCGCTGTTGCTTGTCTAGTTAGAACATTCTCTTCATAAACATGACAAATTTTTTTTGCGTAGCATTCTTTCCTTTTTGTAATAAAGAAGTAAAGTACAAATGTGTCAGAAATGTTCCTGATTTTCACTCATTTTCAAATTTGATTGAATGCGTCAGTATCGTTCAAATCTATGATTAACTTATTTCAAAATGTTATATGGAATAGCACCTATTCAACGATATATAACCTAATACACACAATAGTGGCATGTAAAAAATCGATCAATCTCTATCTATCGGCTGTATGCGCGCGCGCGCGTGTGTGTGTGTAAATAGACTTTCTTCTTAAACAATATATTAAATAAAAAATTTAAACATGTGCTGATTACAATGATCAGTAAAATTAGCCTTTACGGAAAAAACTATTAGTGTTACTAATAATGTCATTACTAGTGAAAATAGTGCAACAGTAATTTTGCAAATAGTGTAATGGTGTAATAGTGGTGGAAAAAATTTCGTTAAAATTTTACTGAAATTTTACTGAAATTTTATTGCAAAAATAAATATTATTGATTAGCATCATATTTCAGAGGGTACACGACAAAATTACAATAAAAAAAAGTTTCCTTTATGAATTCGAGAACTAATTTTATGATCCTCCCATGCGGTTATCCATCCGAATACGTATCTCCATTTAGCATGCTTGACTTCTGCGATCGTACAGGAAATGCTCCTTCAAAGAATCACGAACACCTATAATACTAATGAATGTATAGTTGTAACATATCTGATCAAAGATGTTGTGAAAGAAACCGAATACATATAGAAAAAAATAATTAATGTTAAATATAATTGTAATGTACAAATTGAAGCGTGGCATATATTAGGTGCACAACTTTG